GGGTTCTAGAAGGGCTTGACAAAAAATAACGGCACTTAACGATGGAATGGGCTGAACTGATCAACATAGGAGCACTTACCAAAGTTTCCAGATACAATATATAGCTCAAGTAGCAGGTCGGTTGACTGAAAACTGGACTTAAATGCTGGTTTATTTTCAGTAGGTTGAGATGCCAAAACTTCCCTGGCATAATTTCAAGGAAGGCACTCAAAAGCTTAGGAAGCAGGAAATGTCCCAGAAGACAATCTTTTAAGGAAGACACTGCGAAATACACTGAGGAAGGGAGCGCCAAGTTTTCAGAAGGCTGATTGATGGCTGCCATCTGCAGGCCAGGGATGATGGTGGGAGAGTTCACCACTGAGATGGGATCCTTGATTTCAATCCAGAGTAAAGCAGCCAGGTACCAGTGCCTAACCACCAGACACAAGGTGAATGCAGTTACTAAAACAGACAAAAGGGTCAGAGTGCCAATCAGAATGTTTTACCTCAGATAGATCTTTGGTGGTGGCTATTAATTGCATATAATTAAATAGATGGGCACCTTACTTAAGTAATTTTTGTTCTGTACAATTAGAAAAACTCTAGCTCTGGCATGCAGAGACCTAACTTGAGTCACCACTGTGGAGAGTCGCCTTTCATCAGGTGTCTTGATGTTAGCCATTCCACAGGTCCTTGAATGGAGGGAAGGATGGGTCCTCATGAGCAAGGACCCTGTGACACAGCTAAAAATTTATCCTACAATTCTTCATCCTCCTTTCTTTCTCCCAAAAAGGGATCAGGAGCCACTTTCCAGGCCCTAAAGAAAGTGCAATTTCCCCTTTTTGGAATTCCTATATACTGGCCATGAGTATGCCAATCCCTGTGGGGCCAAGAATCCACTGGAGTCCATTGGTGAGAGTGGTAGCTTATGGAAGCCACATGGTTAATCCAGTTTGGGCTCCGGTACATTACAGTGATTCCAGGTAACTAACTGTGGTTATTTCTCCAGTTTCTGAATGCATCGTTGGAATAGTCATATGGCAACTGGAAGAATATACATATTAGCGCCCTGATCTGTAGAGTGAGATATTATAGTAATAAAGTTCAAATGAAAGCCTTGTAATTTCTCTTTCCTTCCAAAAGAGCAAATCAAAAGCAATCCCCAGGGTTATTGCAGAGAATGCCAATTTCAGAGTCTTGAAAAATTTAGGGATAGTAATTCCTATCACCTCTCTATTTAACTTGCCTATTTAGCCTACTAAGAAAGTTGAGTCCTGGCCAGGCGCGGTGGCTCACGCTTGTAATCCTAGCACTCTGGGAGGCCAAGGTGGGCAGATGGCTCTAGGTTAGGAGTTCGAACCCAGCCTGAGCAAGAGCGAGACCCCGTCTCTACTAAAAATAGAAAGAAAGTAATTGGCCAACTAAAAATATATAGAAAAAAATAGCCGGACATGGTGACGCATGCCTGTAGTCCCAGCTACTCGGGAGGCTGAGGCAGAAAGATTACTTGAGCCCAGGAGTTTGAGGTTGCTGTGAACTAGGCTGATGCCACAGCACTCTAGCTGGGGCAACAGAGTGAGACTCTGTCTCAAAAAAAAAAAAAATGAGTCCTGTGTATTATTATAAACTTAATCGGCCGGGCGCGGTGGCTCACACCTGTAATACTAGCACTCTGGGAGGCCTGAGGTGGGCGGATTGCTTGAGGTCAGGAGTTCGAAACCAGCCTGAGCAAGAGCAAGACCCCATCTCTAATATAAATAGAAAGAAATTAATTGGCCAACTAATATATATAGAAAAATAAATAAACTTAATCATACAGCGACTCTATTGTAGCTGCTGTTCTAGATATGGCTTCTTTACTGAAGCAAATCAATATGCAGCTCCGGTTATTACAGCTGTGGACGTTACTTTTTCTTAGTATCACTTGACAAGTATCAACCCAGGCATATTGTTTTCACCTAGCAGGGGCAGCAGCATACCTTCAATGTCTTTCCTCAGGGCTATGTCAAGTCTACTGCCCTCTGTCACAACCTAATTTACAGAGGCTCTGACTTTTCACCATCTCACAGCACATCATGCTGGTTCATTACAGTGATGACATCATATTGATTTGATTTTGTGAGCAAGAGAATCAAGAACCCTCGATGCTGGCTGGGGACAGTGGTTCATGCCTGTAATCTAGCATTCTTGGAGGCCGAGGTGGAAGGATTGCTTGAGCTTGAGAGTTTGAGAGCAACCTGAGCAAGAGCGAGACCCTGTCTCAACCAAAAATAGAAACAATTAGCCAGAAGAGATGGCACCCACCTATAGTCCCAGCTACTTGAGAGGCTGAGGCAGGAGGATTGCTTGAGGACAGGACTTTGAGGCTACAGTGAGCTACTGTGATGCCACTACACTCTCCCCAGGGCAACAGAGAGTCTCAAAAAACAAAAACAAACAAAAACACCCTAGACGCCTTAATAAGACATATGCATTCATGCCAGCAGATGAGAGACAAACTCCAAGCAAATTTAGGTCTTATCACTCTGGTGAAGTTCCTGGGAGTCCAGTGGTATGGGGCATATCAGAATACCCCTCTACAATAAAAGGCAAGTTGCTGCACATTGTGCCTTTAGCTGCTAAGGAAGAGGTAAAACATTTGAGCCTCTTTGGATTTTACAAGCAAGGTACATTTCATCTGTATTGCTCTGTCCTATAAACCAGTTTTGAGTAGGTCCCAAAGCAAGAGAAGACTGCAGCTGGCCCAGGCTGCATGGCATTCTTTTCTGCCGTGTGAGCTGAGCCATATCATCTAGTACAGCGAATGCTATTGAAGTATCTGGTGACAGATGGAGATACTGTATGGATCCTTTGGCAAATGCTGATAGTAGAATCCCAGCATAAACCTCTAGGGTTTTAGAGCAAAGTTATATCATTTTCTGTCAATAAATATTTTTCCCTTTGAGAACTAGCTCTTGTTTACTCCTGAGTTGCAGTTGAAACTCAATACCTGACCATGGAACACCAAGTGATGTATATGCTTTGAGCAGGTGACCAATATATGATACTCCCATAAGTCAGAAAAGATAGGTTCAGAAATTAAGGGGTTAACATGGCTCTTTTCCCTAGTACTTTATTTATTTATTTATTTATTTATTTATTTATTTATTTATTTTTTGAGACAGAGTCTCACTTTATTGCCCAGGCTAGAGTGAGTACTGTGGCGTCAGCCTAGCTCACAGCAACCTCAATCTCCTGGGCTCAAGTGATCCTGCTGCCTCAGTCTCCTGAGTAGCTGGGACTACAGGCATGGGGCACCATACCCAGCTAATTTTTTTGTATATATATTTTTAGTTGGCCAATTAATTTCTTTCTATTTTTAGTAGAGACGGGGTCTCACTCAGGCTGGTTTTGAACTCCTGACCTCGAGCAGTCTGCCGCCTCGGCCTCCCATGAGCCACCACGCCCGGCCTGTTTTGATAAGATTTTAAAATATACTGCATGTGTACTCTGCCCATCTCAGCCTCCCAGAGTGCTAGGATTACAGGCGTGAGCCACCACACCCGGCCTATTTTATTTATTTATTTATGTATACAGGGTATCTGTCACCCAGGCTGCAGTGCAGCAGCATGATCACAGTTCACCGCAGCCTCAAACTCCTGGGCTCAAGCAATCTTCCTGTCTCAGCCTCCCAAGTACCTCAGACTACAGGTGCACACCACCACACTCAGCTAATTGTTGTTGGTTTTTTTATAGAGGCAGGGTCTTGCTATGTTGCCCAGGCTGATCTCATACTGCTGCCTCAAGTGATCCTCCCACTTTGGCCTCCCAAGTGCTGAGAATGTAGGTGTGAGCCACAATGCGGTACCCATTTTACATTATTATATAACCACCTTTGGAAAATTTGGGTTGCCATTTCCATAACTTTGCTATTACTGATTCAAAGGGCTTATTTCCTAAGTGGGGAATTTTCCCACCAAAGGATACCATAATATTTTCACTGAATTGGAAGTTGGGACTATCACTTGAACATTTTGGGTTCTTCATGCCACTGAACCAACAGGCAAAGAGAGTTACTGTATTAGCTGGGTGATTGATCCAAATTATCAGGTGGAAAGGTGTTTCTTGCTACAAAAAAGGTTAAGAATGTCCTCTGTTTAGAATCTGGAGATTTTTGTGGGCACATTTTAGTACTGTTAATCTATGTTCTAATAATAGTTAAAGGCAGACTACATGTGTTAGGGTTTTTCAGAGAATTAAACCAATAAGATATATATGTATGTGTATATACACATATTAATATGTGTATCTACATGTTTATGTATGTATTTACATATGCATACATATATAAATAAATATATCTGTATGAATAAATATATATAATAGATTTATTATAAGGAATGAGCTTATATGATTGTAGAGTTTGAGAAATCCCAAGATCTGCATTTGGCAAGCTGGGGACACAGTAGAGCCAATGCATAGCTCCAGTCTGAGTCCTGAAGCCTGAGAACCAGAGAGCTGATGGTGTAATTTTTAGCTTAAAGGTAGGTTTAAAAACCCAAGACAAGCCAATGTTTTAAGTCTGAAAGCTAGAAAAGACCAGCTCAAGCAGTCAGGTAGGAGAAGTTCCTCTTACTCAGCCATTTTATTCTATTCACGTCTTTAACTGATTGGATGAGGCCCACCCACCTTGGAGAGGGCAATCTGCTTTACTCAGTCTACAGATTCCAGTGTTAATCTCATGTGTAAAAACACACTCACACACACCCCCTTAATTATGGTCAGTTGCATGGGCACCCCATGGCTCAGTCAGGTTGGCACATAAAATCAATCCCGACACTACAACAACCTGCTAAGGACTGAGAATGTAGTACTTCAGGAATAAAGATGCAGATCCCTGCCGGCTACAGGACTCTGATCAGCTGATGTGCTAGCTGAGGGAAAAGCCGGTGTGGTCTGAGTAGTGGAAGGAAGGAGGTAGAAATATCAGCTACGGCTCTAGAAGCAGTAACAGAAAAGAGGACAGTAATAGCTATATTTATTTCTTCCTTTCTTGTATTAGTTTCCTAGGACACTAGGAACAACAAATTGCCACCAACATATAATGCTCCCATCGTCAGAAGAGACAGGTTCAGGAATTAAGGGTTTGATGGTAGATTAAAACAACAGAAATTTATTCTTTCACAGTTCTGGAGGCTAGAAACCTGAAATCACAGTGTCAGCAAGGTCATGATCATTTTTGATGGCTCTAGGGAAAAATCTTTCCCTGCCTCTTCCTGGCTTCTGCTGGTTGCTGGCAATCCTTGGCACTTCTTGTCTTACAGTTGCATTACTCCAGTCTCTGCGTGTGTCCTCACATGGCCTTCTTGGTGCATCTGTGTGTCCAAATCTCCCTCTCCCTTTTTGTATAAGGACACGAGACATTGGATTTAGGGTCCACTCTAATCTGCTATGACCTCATCTTAATTTGATTACATCTGCAAAGGCCCTCTTTCCAAATAAGGTAACATTCACAGGTACTGAGTGTTAGGACTTCAGCACATTTTTTGGGGGTACATGCTTTAACCCAAAACACTTGTTATATATAAAAACCAATTATTTTCCTCTTTTCCCTTTCCTCTTATTTTATATAAGGAATGTTGGTGGTTATTTGACACTTCTTTTTTTCTTGGTCAGTCTAGCAAAAGGTCTGTCACTTTCGTTGGTAGTTTTTAGTTTTATAATGTAGGTTATAGAATATGCAGGTGGGATTGTGGCTGAACTAGAAGTGGATTTTGTCAAAGGTGAAGGTGGAAAAAAATAAGACTAAAAAAAAAGAAAAGAAAAAAATTGAAGTGGAATTAATATGTTCCAGATATGAATATGGTAATGGATATGACTTTATGCCTTCTCTTTTTTGAAGAGAGAGGTGAAGGTATCTTCATTTTAAGTGGAATATTTACATCTTGTTAGGCAGATACATGGGGTTGTTATTAGTATTTTCTTGTTATATGGAAGTTTAAGTATGGCAAAATAGTAAAAATGGTGTTGAATACCTGAAAGGTGAGAAACAAAAAATAGCTCAGAGCTGTCTGAGCTTTGTAAGGTATGCAAAATTTATCAGGCCCTGACTGGACTTTGGGACTTTAGTCATGCCCCACACCCATGCCTGGGGGCAATTGTGTAAAGGCATTTTTGTTCCAGACTTGCTGCTTCACTCTTTATCTTCTTATTCCTAGAATTTGTGATAAAAAACCAATTAAGGCATTAAAGCAGCGCGGCTGGCTCAACGCCGTAATCTAGCACCTGGGAGGCCGAGCCGGCCGATGCCCAGGTCAGGAGTTCAAACGCACGACAAGACCCCCGTCTCTACCGAAATATAGAAGAAATTAATGACCAACTAAAATATAACAAAAAAAAATACCCGCATGTGATCCTGCAAAAAAAAAAAAAAGTCCAGCTACTAGAGGCTGAGACTAGACGCTGAGCCTCAGGAGATTGAGGTGCTGTGAGCCAGGCTGACGCCACAGCCACTCACTCTACGCATGGCAAGAAGTGGACTCCTCTCAAAAAACACAAAAAAAAAAAAAAACAAAAAACCAAACCAATTAATTGTAAACAATTGATAGCCAATTATTTAAATGAATTCTCAGTAAACATACATTTTTTTTTTTTTTTTTAAGGAACTGCCTCTCTTTTATAATTAAGAACCCACTTGGCTGGCTGGGTGGCAAGTGTAATGCCTACACTCCCCTGGGAGCTGGCCCAGGTCGGAGATTGACTTAGTTTAATCAAGACCAGCCTGAGCCAATGAGCAAGACCCAGTCTCGTATAAAAAGTAAAAGAAATTACTGGACACTAAAAAATATATAAAGAAAAAAAATTGGTATGGTGGTTGCACCAATAGTCCCAGCTACTCGGAGGCCTGAGCAGGAAGACCATGAGTCCGGTGGTTAGTTGCTGTGACTACAGCTGACGCCACAGCACTCAGCGCGGGCAACAAAAACCCACTGACTGCTGCGAATTGGGGTATATATTCAGGGAAACTCTTGAACCTAGGCTCCCAGGTGGCTAACTTCAACCTTTGCCCTTGAATAAACTCTCATTAATTCAACAGCCTGATCTTTTGATATTTCAGATGGCGCCCAAAGGCAAGTCTACTCTTTTTTTTTTTTTGAGACGAGTCTCACGTTGGTCTGCCCAGGCTAGAGTTGAGTGCCAGACACAGCCACCTCACAGTAACCTCAAACTCCTGCTCCAAGCAACCCTGCCCCAGCCTCCCCTGAGTAGCTGGACACCAGCATGCACCACCATGCCCCTAATTTTTCATATAACTAATTAGTTGCCAATACATTCCTTCTATTTATAGTAGTGACGGGGTCTTGCCCTTGATTCAGCTGTTTTTTTTATTTTTATTTTTTTTGAGACAGAGTCCCGCTTTGTTCCCCAGGCAGATGAGTGCGTGCGTCAGCCGGCTTCACAGCAACCTCAACCTCCTGGCCTCAACAATCCTCTGCCTCCACCTCCAAGTAGCTGGACCTACATGCGCACGCGCCACCATGCCCGGCTAATTTGTATATACTAGTTGCCAATAATTTCTATTTATACGTAGAGACGGGGTCTCGCTCCTGCTCAGGTGGTTCAACTCCTGACCCTTGAGCGATCCGCCTGCACCCGGCCTCCAGATCTAGGATACAGGCGTGAGCCACCGCGAACCCGCCTCTCAGGCCTGTTTTGAACTTCTGACCTTGACAACTCACTTCAGCCTCAGCCGTCCCAAGAGTCTAGGAACCAGGTTGAGCCACCTCGACCGCCACAGCTAAGGCTACTCCTTATGTGGAGACTGATGGAAACCTACTGACAGAAGAAATATTTTCCTTTACTTGCTTCTGAGGTTTCTAGTAACAGCTCTGGGTTCCTACACATGGGACATTCAAGAAGCGTGCAGTGATCGAGGGTTACCTCGACACTCCTGAAGCCCGACTTTTGCAGCAGTAGTCACCATGTAGCCAACTTGGGCTCATCCTGTGCCCGTAGATAGTGTGCAGTGTGGGCTCCCTTCCTTACTGCAAAACAGCCAGGCTAGTTCAACGTCGATAGAAGTTGCTCCAACTCCCTCAATGGCACGGTGATCATGGTCCAGTAACACCATTTCCTTTTGTGCCCCTCGGTCCTGGCAGTAGTTTCTTCCGCAGCAGTCAACCTGTCTTGCAGCCTTAAACACCTTTTGCAAATACAATTGTTGTTATAATTTCTCCTGTTGAATACTTAGAGTGATTATGTTCCTCCTAAAGACAGT